GCAGAGCACAGGCTCCGGACGCGCAGGCTCAGCGGCCATGGCTCACGGGCCCAGCCGCTCTGCGGCATGTGGGATCTTCCCGGACCGGGGCACAAACCTGTGTCCTCTGCATCGGCAGGCCTACTCTCAACCACTGTACCACCAGGGAAGCCCCTTGGGGGTATTTTTAATAAACCTTTACAGTGAGAGAAATCGAGAGTTAAAGAAATTGTCTTGTTTATTGATAAGAAGCACGTTCTGTAACATAATGGGTGTTGAGATAGCAGAGTTTTGCTTGTTTTCCTGGATCTCTAACTTTTCCGGAACCCAAATTGGAACATAATCTAGTAGACAAGTTGTCTAGTGAACTGGATTCCAACTCTTATTTCTGCCATAGACTAGGTATGGGACACTGGTTAAGTCTAGGTACAGGTTTCTATACCTTTAAAATAGAGACTAATTCTCCCAATTACAAAGGGATAATCTCTTCGGAGCCTTTGGGAGGAAAAGGCTATCATATACAGCCAGGGCATGGCCACTATATTTGAAATACTATGTGTCTATTTCAAAAGAGCCTGTATACTCTCTGTTTAAGCTGATATTTGCAGGATGTGGAGAAGGGTGGGCAGAGAGAAACTAGAATCCCGTGACCCTGAAGCGGATAAGGCCAGATCAGAGAGAAGTGTGTGATGCCTGATCCCAGGCTTGGCTGTGCACCATTTGCTCACATTTCTTCTGAGTATACAAACCTGATTTTTTTGGAACCTACCCATGGTGGTACCCTGTGAATAGCCGACATAATAGATATTTTCCTGGCCCGTTTTCTGCAAAATAAAGTTTATGACTGCAGGAAGGTCAAACCTAGCCATCTCATCATAACTACAAGGGGAAAAGACAAAGTTATATGAAAAATTATAATCAGAACAAACAAAAGCAGCCCCCATGGTTTACAAACAATGCCTTGAATTGTTGACCCCATCAGATTGTTACTATGCCCCTTACAAGACTCAGAATGGACTTGTTTCAAACCCGTGATGCATGGGTGCCTCTGGGGTCACAGGCTGTTAGCAAACTGCTGTTTTCTCTAGATATTATCATAGAGAAATAACCATCTTAATGAATATTTAGTGAGCATAAGCTCCACCTGCTGGTGGAGGTGTCCTCTTATTCTATTAGCAGAACAGCACAGGGCCATTCAGATTCCTTATATGAAAAGTATCAAAGATGCTGCAGGGGCCTTTCTCTGGTGAAATGGATAAAGAGAAAGTTGAATATCAATAGGTAAGTTAAATAAAAACACTAAAACACTTTTGTAAGAGTGTGAGAGATGTGTTAATCAAATTGATGGTCCCTAAGGCTTATTAGTTCCTCTTATATTTTTAATACTGCCTGGCCTCATCTCCTTCTGGGGGTACTAGTCCTTTCCTTGTCATCACTCAGGGAAGAGTTAGTCCCAGGATATTCATCTGAAAGGAAAGGAACCTACACTTCTCCCATTCCAGTCTCAATCACCTAACACCAACCACTATTCTCATCCCATTCACCAGACTAGCCTTCTACTTGGGGAACCCAATTTACATAATCCAAAGAATCACTAGTCAGTTAAGCCAATTGGGAGATATTATGTTGGGATACTGATGAGCCAACCAAAGTAAATTATCTACATACCAGAAGCCATAATTCTTTTTTTTTTAAACATCTTTATTGGAGTATAATTGCTTTACAATGGGGTGTTAGTTTCTGCTTTATAACAAAGTGAATCAGTTATACATATACATATATCTCCATATCTCCTCCCTCTTGCGTCTCCCTCCCTCCCACCTCCCTATCCCACCCCTCTAGGTGGTCACAAAGCATCGAGCTGATCTCCCTGTGCTATGCGGCTGCTTCCCACTAGCTATCTATTTTACTTTGGGTAGTGTATATATGTCCGTGCCACTCTCTCACTTCATCCCAGCTTACACTTTCCCCTCCCCATATCCTCAAGTCCATGCTCTAGTAGGTCTGTGTCTTTATTCCCGTCTCACCCCTAGGTTCTTCACGACATTCTTTTTTTCCCTTAGATTCCATATATATGTGTTAGCATACGGCATTTGTCTTTCTCCTTCTGACTTACTTCACTCTGTATGACAGACTCTAGGTCTATCCACCTCACTACAAATAGCTCAATTTCGTTTCTTTTTATCAGAAGCCATAATTCTTTACCTAGTTCTCCCAAAGCCATCCATGTCCACCTCCTCTCTCAAGATTTGCATATACCTGAAAGCCCAGAACTCATCTTGGTCTATGGAGAGGGTCTTGTGTTTCCGAGACCAGGTGTTTCCCCTGCTGTTCCCCATCCACACATCAAAACCCGCGTCTGCCAGAATGAAGCCCAGGCTGTTGTTGGGCAGGTTGGAAATCCAGTTGCTAGCATCTCCAAGCAGGCCATGCTGCAGTAACACCACAGGCCTGGGACCTACAAAGAAGTGAATTTCAACAGTGTGAAATATTCTGCGCCTTTCTCGTTATCCCTTAATGTGCGAAAGATTTCAAGTTAGACAAACCTGTGTTCGAATCTTGATTCATCTGCTTGCTAGCTTGATTATCTTGGCCAGTTACTTAACCTTTCTGTGCCTTGATTGCCTCGTGAAAAAAATAGTATTTTTGTTATGATTAAGTAAAATAATACACAAGAAGCAGATGGCACAACGCATGGACACCAAGGGGGAAAGCGGGGGTGGGAGTGGTGGTGGTGGTGGTGGTGGGATGAATTGGGATATTGGAATTGACGTATATACACTAACATGTATAAGATAGATAAGTAATAAGAACCTGCTGTATAAAAAATAATAAAATTTAAAAAAAAAGAAGCAGATGGCACAATGCCTGGCACAGAGAAAGAATCAATAAAGTTTGGCCTCTATTGTTGCTTTTGTGTAGTTATTATTATTACTAGACTTGTCTAGGATCAGAGAAAATTGGAAGTGCTCCAGGAGGTAGTATAATATAATGATTAAGATAATTATATATAATAATCATAGCTACTATATATTAATAAAAAGAAATTATGTTATTATATATTAATATATTATTTATATATTATAGAATTATACATGAATATATGTATATATATTAATGTTACAATATAAATAATATATACTATATAACATTTCTATTAACATAAAATTAACATACAATATAAAATTAATATATATTATATAGTATTATAGAGTATATATACTTATTGACATACTGTTAATATACACACATATATAAACACTTATAAAAATACATATATACACAAATATATTTAATATATTATATATTTGCTATATTAATAATAAATAAACATATATTATATATAATTATTAATATTGCCATATATACACGGATATGTGTATATATACGTGTGTATATATATTACCACACATATACATATATATGTGTGTGTGTGTGTGTGTGTATATATATATATATATATATATATATATATATATATATATATATGTAATGGTTTGATGATTACGGGCCCTCATGTGAAAAGGACCCACAAGCCAACCTGATAAAATAAAAGTTTAAAAAGTATTATTTTTAACAAAATTTATTTATTTTATTTATTTTGTTTTTGGCTGTGTTGAGTCTTCGTTGCCGCATGCGGGCTTTCTCTAGTTGAGGCGAGTGGGGGCTACTCTTTGTTGTGGCGTGCAGGCTTCAAACTGTGGTGGCTTCTCTTGTTGCAGAGCACGGGCTCTAGGCTCAAGGGCTTCAGTAATTGTGGCTCGCGGGCTCAGTAGCTGTGGCTCACAGGCTCTAGAGAACAAGCTCAGTAGTTGTGGCTCACAGGCTCTAGAGCACAAGCTCAGTAGTTGTGGCGCATGGGCTTAGTTGCTCCGCGGCATGTGGGATCTTCCAGGACCAGAGCTCAAACCCATGTCCCCTGCATTGGCAGGAGGATTCTTAACCACTGCGACACCAGGCAAGTACCTAAAAAGTCTTTTGTCACAAGCTTATAGACATCTTTCAGTTGTTTTCAGGATGAATTTCACTGGCCCTCTTTTTTTTTTTAACATCTTTATTGGAGTATAATTGCTTTACAATGTTGTGTTAGTTCCTGCTATATAACAGAGTGAATCAGCTATATGTATACATATATACCCATATCCCCCGCCCTTGCATCTCCCTTCAACCCTCCCTATCCCACCCCTTTAGGTGGTCACAAAGCACCGAGCTGATCTCCCTGTGCTATGTGGCTGCTTCCCACTAGCTATCTATTTTACATTTGGTAGTGTATATATGTCCATGCCACTCTCTCACTTCGTGCCATCTTACCTTTGCCCCTTCCCGTGTCCTCAAGTCCATTCTCTACATCTGTGTCTTTATTCCTGTCCCACCCCTAGGTTCTTTAGAACCATGTTTTTTTTTTTTTAGATTCCATATATATGTGTTAGCATATGGTGTTTGTTTTTCTCTTTCTGACTTACTTCACTCTGTACGACAGTCTCTAGGTCCATCCACCTCACTACATATAACTCAAGTTCGTTTCTTTTTATGGCTGAGTAATATTCCATTGCATGTATGTGCGCATCTTCTTCATCCATTCATCTGTTGATGGATACTTAGGCTGCTTCCATGTCCTGGCTATTGTAAATAGTGCTGCAATGAACACTGTGGTACATGACTCTTTTTTTTTTTTGTGGTACATGGGCCTCTCACTGTTGTGGCCTCTCCCGTTGCGCAGCACAGGCTCCAGACGTGCAGGCTCAGCAGCCATGGCTCACGAGCCTAGTTGCTCCGTGGCATGTGGGATCTTCCCAGACCGGGGCACGAACCTGTGTCCCCTGCATCGGCAGGCGGACTCTCAACCACTGTGCCACCAGGGAAGCCCCATGACTCTTTTTGAATTATGGTTTTCTCAGGGTATATGCCCAGTAGTGGGATTGCTGGGTCATATGGTAGTTCTATTTTTAGTTTTTTAAGGAACCTCCATACTGTTCTCCATAGTGGCTGTATCAATTTACATTCCCACCAACAGTGCAAGAGGGGTCCCTTTTCTCCACACCCTCTCCAGCATTTATTGTTTGTAGATTTTTTGATGATGGCCATTCTGACCTGTGTGAGGTGATACCTCATTGTAGCTTTGACTTGCATATCTCCAATGATTAGTGATGTTGAGCATCTTTTCATGTGCTTCTTGGCCATCTGTATGTCTTCTTTGGAAAAATGTCTATTTAGGTCTTCTTCCCATTTTTGGATTGGGTTGTTTGTTTTTTGATATGGAGCTGCATGAGCTGCTTGTATATTTTGGAGATTAATCCTTTGTCAGTTGCTTCGTTTGCAAATATTTTCTCCCATTCTGGGGGTTGTCTTTTATTCTTCTTTATGGTTTCCTTTGCTATGCAAAAGCTTTTAAGTTTCATTAGGTCCCATTTGTTTATTTTTGTTTGTATTTCCATTTCTCTAGGAGGTGGGTCAAAAAGGATCTTGCTGTGATTTATGTCATAGAGTGTTCTGCCTATGTTTTCCTCTAAGAGTTTTATAGTGTCTGGCCTTACATTTAGGTCTTTAATCCATTTTGAGTTTATTTTTGTGTATGGTGTTAGGGAGTATTCTAATTTCATTCTTTTACGTGTAGCTGTCCAGTTTTTCCAGCACCACTTATTGAAATGGCTGTCTTTTCTCCATTGTATATTCTTGCCTCCTTTATCAAAGATAAGGTGACCATATGTATGTGGGTTTTTCTCTGGGCTTTCTATCTTGATCCACTGATCTGTATTTCTGTTTTTGTACTAGTACCATACTGTCTTGATTTCTGTAGCTTCGCAGTATGGTCTGAAGTCAGAGAGCCTGATTCCTCCAGCTCTGTCTTGCTTTCTCGATTGCTTTGGCTATTTGGGGTCTTTTGTGTTTCCATACAAATTGTGAAATTTTTTGTTCTAGTTCTGTGAAAAATGCCATTGGTAGTTTGAGAGGGACTGAGTTGAACCTGTAGATTGCTTTGGGTAGTATAGTCATTTTCACAATGTTGATTCTTCCAATCCAAGAACATGGTACATCTCTCCATCTGTTTCTATCCTCTTTAATTTCTTTCATCAGTGTCTTATAGTTTTCTGCATACAGGTCTTTTGTCTCCTTAGGTAGGTAGGTATTTTATTTTTTTTGTTGCAATAGTAAATGGGAGTGTTTCCTTAATTTCTCTTTCAGATTTTTCATCATTAGTGTATAGGAATGCAAGAGATTTCTCTGCATTAATTTTGTATCCTGCTACTTTACCAAATTCATTGATTAAGTCTACTAGTTTTCTGGTAGAGTCTTTAGGATTCTCTATGTATAGGATCATGTCATCTGCAAACAGTGACAGCTTTACTTCTTCTTTTCCGATTTGGATTCCTTTTATTTCTTTTTCTTCTCTGATTGCTGTGGCTAAAACTTCCAAAACTATGTTGAATAACAGTGGTGAGAGTGGGCAGCCATGTCTTGTTCCTGATCTTAGTGGAAAGGGTTTCAGTTTTTCACCACTGAGAACGATATTGGCTGTGGGTTTGTCAGATATGGCCTTTATTATGCTGAGGTAAGTTCCTTCTACGCCTACTTTCTGGAGAGTTTTTATCATAAATGGGTACTGAATTTTGTCAAAAGCTTTTTCTGCATTTATTGAGATGATATATGGTTTTTATCCTTCACTTTGTTAATATGGTGTATCACATTGATTGATTTGCATATATTGAAGAATCCTTGCATTCCTGGGAGAAACCCCACTTGATCATGATGTATGATCCTTTTAATGTGCTGTTGGATTCTGTTTGCTAGTATTTTGTTGAAGATTTTTGCATCTCTGTTCATCAGTGATATTGGCATGTAGAAAGCTGGAGTAGCAATTCCCATATCAGATGAAATAGACTTTAAAATAAAGACTATTACAAGAGACAAAGAAGGACACTACGTAATGATCAAGGGATCAATCCAAGAAGAAGATATAGCAAATGTAAATATTTATGCACCCAACATAGGAGCACCTCAATACATAAGGCAAATGCTAAAAGCCATAAAAGGGGAATCGACAGTAACACAATCATAGTAGGAGATTTTAACACCTCACTTTCACCAATGGACAGATCATCCAAAATGAAAATAAATAAGGAAACACAAGCTTTAAAGGACACATTAAACAAGATGGACTTAACTGATATTTATAGTACATTCCATCCAAAAATGACAGAATACACTTTCTTCTTAAGTGCTCATGGAACATTCTTCAGGATAGATCATATCTTGGGTCACAAATCAAGCCTTGGTAAATTTAAGAAAATTCAAATCATATCAAGCATTTTTTCCAACCACAATGCTATGAGAGTAGCTATCAATTACAGGAAAAAAAACTGTAAAAAATACAAACCCATGGAGGCTAAAAAGTATGCTACTAAATAACCAAGAGATCACTGAAGAAATCAAAGAAGAAATCAAAAAATACCTAGAAACAGATGACAGTGGAAACACGAGGACCCAAAACCTATGGAATGTAGCAAAAGCAGTTCTAAGAGGGAATTTTACAGCAATACAATCCTACCTCAAGAAACAAGAAAAATCTCAAATAAACAACCTAACCTTATACCTAAAGCAATTAGAGAAAGAAGAGCAATAAAAAACCCCAAAGTCAGCAGAAGAAAAGAAATAATAAAAAACAGATCAGAAATAAATGAAAAAGAAATGAAGGAAATGTTAGCAAAGATCAATAAAACTAAAAGCTGGTTCTTTGAGAAGATAAACAAAATTGATAAACCATTAGCCAGATTCATCAAGAAAAAAAGGGAAAAGGCTCAAATCAATAGAATTAGAAATGAAAAAGGAGAAGTAACAACTGACACTGCAGAAATACAAAGCATCTTAAGAGACTACTACAAGCAACACTATGCCAATAAAATGGACAACCTGGAAGAAATGGACACATTCTTAGAAAAGCACAACCTTCCAAGACTGAACCAGGAAGAAATAGAAAATATAAACAGACCAATCACAAGCACTGAAATTGAAACTGTGATTAAAAATCTTCCAACAAACAAAAGCCCAGGACCAGATGGCTTCACAGGCAATTTCTACCAAACATTTAGAGAAGAGCTAACACCGATCCTTCTCAAACTCTTCCAAAATATTGCAGAGGGAGGAACACTACCACACTCATTCTACGAGGCCACCATCACCCTTATACCAAAACCAGACAAAGATGTCACAAGAAAAGAAAACATTGGCCCTCTTTTTGAAGAGATGGTTAGAAATCTTTTTTTCCTTCATGGCTGGGAGATTTCTTCCTTAAAGAGGCCAATGGATGCTGCAAGAACAACATCAGACACTAGAGGGGAGTATTCGGCACCAACTGGACCTTAAAGGCTGATACCTTGAACTCCAATCGCCTGGGCAATGAGTGAACAATCTAAATAAACAGGACGTGAGAAAACAAAACTCCATCCATGAATAGGCGCTGCAGGTGACCCCTAAGCTTATGAACTGCCACAGTCTTCCGATTTGTGGAGCTTAGTGAAAAAGTTCTCTCTGTGTCTCCAGGCTATACATGTATTTATATAAAATTCATTCATTCATTCCACATATATTTATTGGCACCTGCCATGTGCTTGGCACTCTTTTAGGTACTTTTTATAGCCTTGAACAAAATCTGTAAATTTTCTGTGCCTTCTGAGTTTACATTCTGGTTGGGAGGGACAGATAATAAACAAACAAGCAAATATCTATCATATCAGTGGTGCTATAAGGAAAATTAAGCAGGATTAGGGGCTAAATCTCAGTAGCCGGCAAGGGCTTACAATTTTGAATAGGGTGGTTGAAGGAAGAATGGGAAAGAGAAGGCCTGAAAGAGGGGCCAAGGCAAACTGCATGGATATCTGAGGAACAGTGGTCCAGAAGAGAACTGCAAGTTCAAAGGCACTGAGATAAGGGCATGCTGGACATATATAAGGCATGGCTGTTGAGCTGGTGTAAAAAAGCTGGTTTTCAAAAAGCTGCACAAATATAAATTGGAATAAAATAGAACCCTGCAGCTTCTTTATACCAAAGCCCAATAGCATTCACCCAGCATTTTCTGGTCCTAGGTAAGAGCATGGGCTACACTGGCAGACAAATCTTAATTTGAGTGCAGATTTTGCAGCATACTAGCAAGGACTAGCAAAGACTCTCTGGGCAAGTTACTTAACTTCTGTGAGTGGCAGTTTCTCAGGATTATTGTGAAACTTATATGAGACTAACACAAATAAAGCACTTAGCGTTGTACCTGGCATACAGAAAGAACGCAATAAAGAATTACATTATCTGTACACATGACAGATAATGTAGTTGCTGCTATAAACATAGAGCTAGAGTATTAAAAGGAATAGAGCCAAATAGAGATGAAGGATGGGCAATAGTGTACTATTACACTTTAATAGTAATGAAGGTGAATTTCTTAAAAGCCAACAATAGCCAAAAATCCCATACAGAAAAAAAAGGATTATATGGAAACACGTACCAAAAATTTTAAATGTACACATAGTGCCCAATTCTTTAAAAGACTTTAGTGAAAATCTGGGCAATGTCTTAAATATTTAAAGGGCTGTCTGGATGGGGAATATAGAGTGTGCTAGGGTGGGCGTCAGATGCCATGGCAGAGTCTGCATTCTTCATGAGCAAGGGTTGGCGTCATCTGCTTAAGAGATCATCAGTGGATATTCTAGAATATCTATATAGGAGGGGTTTGGGGAATGAATTAAATACTAGAAGGGATCAAGAAATGAACTTTTCTTGAAGGTGTTTTTTGAAAAGCAAACACTATGTTTATTGGAGATAATTGGGGATGGGGCAGTAGTGTTGGGGACGGTAAGGTAGCTGAAGGCATCTTTTGGCTGGAATAATGGGCCCAGTCTGTACCAAGAGCCCAGACTCCCTCTACACACTCAAATCACAAGGAAGTGTTTAATGTAGGAAGGATTGCTATGTTGGGGTAACATAGGGTGAACAACCATACCTGTCTTCTTAAGTTGCACTAGGCCCTGAGGAATCCTGTTAACAGAAAGGATATATCCATCTTCTGTTGCGACTTCATACTCCTCACGGGGATAACCTTTATGTTGGATGATTTCACTCTATGGAAAAAACACAATTTTTTTTTGAGTTCAGTTCTGTATGGTTATGTTCTCAATGATTATAAGGTAAAAAGTAGATCCCTTGATGCTGGAAGAGATAGACAAGAAATTCCTTGCTTTTCACTAGCTAATTATGTTATTGTAAAAAAAATTAGCAAACCCTCTCCACTGCTCATTTTCTTTATCTTTAATGTAGAGATTGAACTAGAAGGGTAATTCTTAATGTGGGCTCTGGACCAAGAGCATAGCATCACTTGGGCACTTGGTAACAACAGCAAATTGTCAGTCTCCACTCAAACCTATTGAATTGGGAACTCTGGGGCTGGGTCCCAGCAATTTGTGTCTTAACAAGCTCCTTAGAAAATTCTGATGCACTCTAATATTTGAGAACCACTGGAAAAGAACACTGATTCCAAAACCTGGGTGTGTGTCAGAAACATCTGGGACACTTAAACATAAATATTCCTGGGCCCACTTCAGGTTAGGAATCAGGGAATTCCGGTGCAGCCAGTGGGACAGGACAGCTTATGAGAACCCCTGGTCCATGTATTCCCTAAGGTTCTTTTCAGCTCTAAAACCACAGACTCAAGAGCAGTACAGTCATTCCTCAGTATCTGTGAGGAATTGGTTCCAAGACACCCCATAGATACCAACATCTGAGGATGGTCAAGTCCCTTCCATAAAATGGGGTAGTATGTCAGTCCTCTGTATTGGCGAATTCCACATTCACGGATATGGAGGGTTGACTGTAGTTCTTAACACTTTTAGGTTAAGGATCCCTCAGTGAATTTGAGGAAAATATAGAAATGGATATACACATGGACACACCATATACTTTCAGGGGTTTCAGATTTCCTGTTTCCTATGTATGGACTCCTGGTTAAGGACCCCTACTCCATACAGTTGTTACATACAGAAACTCTTTGTAAAATATAAAGCTGCTGGTCTTCCCCGGTGGCGCAGTGGTTGAGAGTCCGCCTGCCAATGCAAGGAACACGAGTTCGTGCCCCAGTCCGCGAAGATCCCACATGCCGAGGAGCGGCTGGGCCCGTGAGCCATGGCCGCTGAGCCTGCGCATCTGGAGCCTGTGCTCCGCAACGGGAGAGGCCACAACAGTGAGAGGCCCACATACCATAAAAATAAATAAATAAATAAATAAATTATATATATACATATATATATAATTTATTTATTTATATACATAAAGCTGCTGCGATCTCCTCAGTATCCTGTTTCTGCCTACTGTAGTTACTTAGAGAAGGAGGGAATTATTTCTATTAGCGGCTGCTTTTAAAGGAACAAAAGAGGAGAAAGCTAAATGCCCAGTGTAGTATACAAGACAAAGGGCATAATAGTTAAGAGAAAGGCCCTGGGGTCCCACTGCTTGGGTTTTAAATCCTGGCTCTCACACTAATGCATAAACTAACTGTGTGATCTTAGGAAATTTAGTTAACTTGTCCCTATTCCTCAGTTTATTTGTCTGTAAATTAGGTATACCAGTGGTTTATACTCCTTGGGATTATTGCAAAGAATGTAAAAAGATAATGCACATATGACACTAACAAGATTGGCTGGCACATAGTAGGGACTCAAGGAGCATTAGCTACTACTATAAATAAAAATCACCCCCACCCTCCCTTTCAAGTAACTCCTATTCACCTTTCAGAATTCAGGTTAAGAAAACTTTCTTCAGAAAAACTTTCCTAAATTCCCTAAGTCCCCCTATTTTATGTTTTCTTCTTTGATTTCACTTCTCTTGTGATTAGTTTTGAGTGATTAGGAATTGAGTGTCTGTCTTCTCTGCTGGATTGCAAACTCCATGAAATCAGGGCACTTAGATCTCTCTGTAACCTCAGTGCATAACACAGTATCAGGGCCAAATAGGTGCTCAACTAACACTAGCTAGAAAAATACCTGAATGAGGACAGTTGTATACCAAAATACAGAATAAATTATATCCATATAAATTAGTACTCAGAGTCAAATCCATTCAGACTCTGAAGCACTTTTTATTCTACTTCATTTAATTTATATGAGAGATTACAAGAATTTTCTATCTTTGTCTCTCCATGTATGACTGCTAAATAGCAGAGTCCAATTCATTGGATTTTAGTCTTAGAGCTCCTGAAGCCCAAACAGTGTGTAGGTGCTGGCCACACCCAGTGGGTGAGGCCCAGGGAGATTGGCTCTACCTACAACTAAAGAGATCCCCCTCACTTAACGACCTAGAGGAATTTGTATGGGAACTTCTCAGGGCCAGAAGGATGGCCCTTAAGGATCTACACCAATTTGCTAACTATCTGGACAAACCATCAAAAGACAGTCAATAGTTGGAATGGTCAAAAGAAACCTGATATTTGGCATTCATGTAGATTCAGAATATTTCTATAGCCTGTCAGAGTTTTAGAATTCATTCAAGGAGGTTTCTGTAAAAAAGGTCTTAAATCTGTATAAAAGCATGTTAAATCTATGATAAATGTATGGAGCATAAACATTACACACAATCACCTCACTCAGCTGGAGGTAGCCTCTCCTTCCCTGGGAGGGTTTATTGCATAGTTGTCACAATTATGAGCTTTGTGTTCTGGCAGGCCCGGATTGAAATTCTAGCTCTACCACCTACCAGGGGTGTAGCCTGATTTGAGTTGTTTAACCTCTTTAATCTCAGTTCCTTGATTGGAAAAATGAGTATGGTCCTATCTATGGAATAGGGCAGTGAAGATAAAATCAAAAGCTTTTTCTGACCTATTGAGATGATCAAAAAAAAAAAAAGAGAGATAAAATCAAAGAGTATCTCTACAGCTTTCATCACAATGTCTGCTATGGGATAAATATTACTATATGGTGGACATTGTTAAAATTCAACTAAGAATGTGAAAGTAAGCCAAAAAGTATTCTCTGAGATAGCTAGAAATTTCACTTCATTCATAAAGTTTACTCATAGGAGGACCTCTCTAGCATTCATAGGGGTCCTTGTACTTCTAGACCACAGAGTTACCAGCTCAAACCAGGATTAAATAGATTAGGGTGGCACAGGGTGTTACTAGAAGTGACTGTCCTGAGAGTATGAAAGGAGGTCTAACATCTTTCTAATATTGGAAAAAGCAGAAAAAGAACAGAAAGCACAGACAACGTGGAAATAATCATGGGTCTGAGCTTGACCCAAGATACTGCAATGATTTAACTGCTCCTGGAATGAGCCTAAGAATTCAAGAAAAAGTTAAACTGTGTTTGAAGCTCAAAGGGATTAAGTAATTTGCCTAAGTTTACTGAAATTGTTGAAGGTGAACCCATGTTTACCCACACCCAACTTAGTGTTCTTTCCAGTACAATATGTTAATTTACAACTATGTTCTACTAGCAGAAATCACCACCACATATAAATATAATATATGATGCAGATAATACACAGAGACAAACAATAACATGTAAGGTACTTTGTTTCCCCCCAAATATGGAAAATCCCAACTTACAACATTCATGAATGCTTCTGGGTCCACAGCTTTAGTTGGCATATGTCCTGAATTCACATTTCTCTGGAACAAATGCGCCACCAGAATCAGAAGCCACATCTCGTTTCTGTGTGAAACAATCCACTCCCTTGACAAGATTTTTGACATGGTCCAACATCTGCATTTATCTGTTCTTGGTAATATAACAACTGATTCTAAATTCAGAAGAATCTGTAGGTTGAAAAACTCTTTCATATATTTTCCAGCTGTAGTTTCTTCTCCAAATTCCGAAGCAAGGTAAACAAGCTTGGTTGATGGGAACAAAAGAACATAAAGTAGAATGGAAACAACATCCAGGATGTCCCAATACTATCTGGCTCCGCCCGCTCCCTCAAACAACTTGGTGTGTAGAAAGAACTTTCTTTGATGCAACCTGTAGTTATGTGATATGATACAACTCATAAAATCCCTGTTCATCATCAGGTAATATGCACCATAGGAAGCATCATTTTCTTTAAAAGAAATTTGTTTTCTTGGAGTATAGTTGATTTACAATGTGGTATCAGTTTCAGGTGTTCAGCAAAGTGAATCCGTTATATGTATACATATATCCACCCTTTTTTAGATTCTTTTCCCATATAGGCCATTATGGAGTATTGAGTAGAGTTCTCTGTGCTATACAGTAGGTCCCTATTAATTATCTATTTTATATAGTGTGTATATGTCAATCCCAATCTTCCAATTTATCTCCCCCCTTTATCCCCTGTTAACCATAAATTTATTTTTTACACCTGTAGAAAATTGTAACTCTATTTCTGTTTTGTAAATAGGTACAAATATCATATGATATTGCTTATATGTGGAATCTGAAAAAAAGGTTACAAATGAACTTTTTCTAGTTCTTATCTATCTTTTATAGGTAGAAAGGTATGAAGTCTGAAGAAAACTTTATGACCCTTTAGAGTCACAGTCTGGGGCTTCAATGATCACTGTCCTTTGGCTGAAGGTCAATGTAGTGATAAGCATTTTTACTTATCAAGAATGTCAAAAAATTTTAGGACATTTTCTATTTTTAGTTATGGGTAAGAACATTGATTGGAAGAAAATGAATCTTCCATGTTTAGGCCATTTCTAGGTAGCTCAACTAAATAGACATGAAAAGTTTTATTTGGGTTTGTAATCACTAGTTAATCGCTGAGAGATTACTTTGATGGATACCTGATCATTAAATCATCTGCAAAACTAAAAGGAGTTGCAGCCTAGTTATTTTCATGAACTAAATGCCCCAATTCAATCAACAATGTGGCCATGTGAGCAATTCCTTAGCCGACTAATATTTAAGCAGGCCAGGAGAATAGTTATTGTCATTTTAAGTAAAGAATGTGTTAGAATTGAAGAAAAAATACTATTTAAAGTAAAATATTTCTTTACTTTTACATCAGCTCTTCAGAACTGAGCTACTAGCAGCCACACTAATTGAGAGACTTTTGGAATGTGGGTTGGTGAAGGAGATGAAGCCAGAACAGGAATGGTGAGTCTATGTGTAGATAGCTGCCCACACTCTCAAGCCTCACCTACACTGGGCCACCTGCATAGATGTCATGAGGCGAGCTTGCAGCTCTTATCTGGAGCAGTCTCAACATTCCCACCACTAGTGATCCGATGTGTGCTAAGGAGTGATGATCTGACCTACTTTAGGAGAGCAGAGGAAGCATTTGCCCAACACTTGGCAGAGCCCCAGGTCCTCAGCACCCACTGAGCTCACTCCGAAGTTATGCAAAATAAAATTTTGGAAAAGAACTTGGGCTCCCAGTGTTGACATTTTAGGATTTTAAAATGTTAATCAGCCAGACATATACACACTACTATATATAAAATAGGTAAATGACAAGGACCTACTGTATAGCACAGGGAACTGTACTGACTATCTTGTAATAACGTATAATGGAAAAGAATCTGGAAAAGAATACATGTATAATATACATATATGTGTGTGTGTGTAAGTATATATATATATATATATATATATATATATAACTGAATCACTTTACTATATACTTAAAACGAACACAACATTGTAAATGAACTATATACTTCAATTAAAAAAAAGTTATATAGCCAGAAGGAAAGGAAATCTCATTCTGCCCTTTCATTTTCATTTGGGAAGATATGTTAAAAAGCCTTGCCCAACATTACCTAGCTAGATTGTGGCAAAGCCATAACTAAAATCCAGGTGTTTTAATTCATCATTGAATATTATTAACGCATTTGAATAAAATGTAACATTTCAATGTTCCGCATTCAAGGACAAAGGCTCACCTACGATCGAAAGCAATTACATCAGTTTCTGTGAACTGTCTCTTTAAAAGTTCTCTCTGGATTTAAAATTCAAAACAATTCTCAATAATTTCATTATAAATTTGGGACATATAATCTCACATTGTTCCAATATATTCAGGTAAGGTCAACTCTCACATAATATACATGTGAATACTGTATAGACTTATTAATGAAAGAATTGATGCCAAAAAACTGATTAGTTCTGAAAAACTCCTGGGTTTTTGATAGTAGGACTACTTTCCTTCAACACGGCCTCTTTTACAGCCTTTAGAAACTGTGCCCTCCTTGCATACAAGCAAATGTAGAGACAATAGATGTTCAATTTGGCTATCAAATTCTTGGGTGACTTTATGAGCTCACAACTGTCATTTTGGAAGCAAGAAAGTGACATGCAAGGTCCAGCTCAAAGAGCTACATTTTGAACAAATATGAAATAAGTATAGCTCTTCCACACTGCAGAATTTTAACAATGCCCTGAGCAACCCACAGCTTGTGGAAATTATCATTATAGAGAACAGGGGATCCAAATGTGCCAGTGTGACCTCCAACTTGGAATTGTTTACCTTGAGAGATTTATCTTTAGAAGTTTCTATCAAGGAACGCTGTGATATTTTAAAATGTTTTTTTTGCCATCTCAATACACAAAAGAGGATCTGAAGTACCCTGACATCTTGAAACTAAGAAAATACATCTCCCCTAATGAGCACTATCTATAAATCAGTTAAATATCAAAATTACATAAAAAGGGACAGGTCAAATAGGAGAGAGATTAAGGAACCGCTAAGAAAAAAGTGAATAGAGGATCATTACCTATAGCTGTACTGTGTGTAAAAATTATAAAAAATTGAATCAGTTAAACAAAACAGGACACCCTGACCTCCACACACACACCAGTAACACAAGAGTATAAAAAAAAGCAAAACTGGGAGTGAATTCCTCTTTTCTATTTGAGTTGCAGGTTAAAGGGCTCTCAAGTGCTACTTTCCCCCAAGGTTGAATTGAGCTTTATTAAAACAATTCTTTCAGGTTCTATAATCCAAAACCTCAAGTCCAGTGAAGACTGTGCCATGGAATCTGCCTGAAGGTCCAAGTCAGTGCTCTCATCAGAATCACTCTATGATCAAATGACCAAAACTTTTGTGCAAACGGATGCCCTACTCCTTCTCTCAATATGAATTATCTCACAAGAGACTCAGGGCCATCAGGCAAACGCTCTCTTGGTTTATCTGCCCTCTCAGTTTGTTAGACATGCCTAAAAATATATGATTGTCATTTTGACACCAATCAATATCTCTCAGCTGCATTAATCAACATGTGATGATTCTTTTTTAAAATATAAATTGTTTGGTCTTAAAATAATTAATCTCTAAAATAAGTTAAAGTAGTTAAATTTTAAAAAATTTAGATCTTTGGGAAAACATTTTAAAGATTATTGAAAAATAAGACAACAGAATGTACTTATGTTTACGCTGAAGCACAAGGAAAACTACAGGATTTTAAAATAACCATGGCACAATATTGAGGTTGCTGGTATTATAGAAGGTATAACATTTGTAGGTGAGTTGGTTTCTAAAAACACAAATATTCATATCTAAACTTATCACCTTATGAAGTTCTAGAAAATTCAAGAATATACGGTACTGGTCCATTAACATCATGATGTTTCTGGGAATTTATCCCTTTCTTCTAGGTTATCCAATTTGTTGGCATGCAATTGTTCATAGTAGTTTCATGTGATCCTTTGTATTTCTGTGGTATCAGTTGTGATGTTGCCTTTTTTTAATTTCTAGTTTTATTTATTTGAGTCATCTCTCTTTTTTTTCATAGTCTAGCTAACAGTTTGTCAATTTTGATTATCTACTCAAAAAACTAATGTCCCTGGTGGCACAGTGGTTGAGAATCTGCCTGCTAATGCAGGGGACACGGGTTCGAGCCCTGGTCTGGGAGGATCCCACATGCCGCAGAGCGGCTAGGCCCATGAGCCACAACTACTGAGCCTGCGCATCTGGAGCCTGTGCTCCGCAACACGAGAGGCCGCAATAGTGAGAGGCCCGCACACCGCGATGAAGAGTGGCCCCCGCTTGCCACAACTAGAGAAAGCCCTCGCACAGAAATGAAGACCCAACACAGCAAAAATAAATAAATAAATTAATTAAAAAAAAAAAACTAATTCAGTGTTCCATTGATTTTTTCTATCGTTTTTCTTGTTACAGTTTTATTATAACGTATCTTGGAGAAAGTCATTTTGAATTGATATTCTGGGGCAAACTATTAGCTTCATGAACTTTGATGTCCAAATTTCTCCCCAGATTTGGGAATTTCTCCTTCTCCTTCTGGGACTCTAGTGATGTGTACACTGTTTCCATTAATTTATCCTGTAAGTCCTATAGACTCTCTTTGTTCCTTTTCTTTATCTTTTGTTTTCTGTTCCTCTGACTGAATAATTTCAATTGATCTGTCTTCGTGCTCATTGATTCATTGTTTTGTTTGTTTCAGTCTGCCTTTGAAATTCTCTATTATTCAGTACCAGTCATTGTATTCTTCAGCTTCAAAATTTCTGTTTGGTTCTTTATATGTTTTCTATCTCTTTGTTGAGCTTCTCATCTTGTTCTTGTATTTTCCTGATACCATCAAATTGTTTTTTTGTGTTCTCCTGTAGCTGAGTATCTTTAGAACAATTGTTTATAATTCTTTGTTGGGCAATTCCTGGTTCTCCATTTCTCTGGGGCCAGTTCCTGAAGGTTTACTGTATTCCTCATTCTTCGTGATCCCTGTGTAGGTGTCTGTATTTGGAGACACAGTCATCTCTTCCAGACTTTATGGTCTGA